GGCCTCCTGTTGCAGCAACTTCCCATCGCGTTTCCATTTGTCTCCCTCTAGAGACAGAGCTGAGGTCTATAGCACAGGGTAGCCCAAGACTATGAGGAATCTCTATTTTGCCACAACTGGAGTTCTCAGAATCAGCCTAGCTGGGCAAAATGAATGGGCAACTCATCAAGAAAGCTCACTCTATCAACATCATGCAGGCAAAATTTGCCTGACAGGTACTGAATGAAATAAATCAAAGCTGGTTCTTCACGTACCAAGGAGGCAATTGTGAAAGGTGGCACACCACTGCCCACAGTGAACAAGAAACAAAGGAGGCTTGGACACTGGGAGGCTGAGGCTGATATCCAAGGCTATAAACAAATAATTGGGACCTGCACAGAAATACTCATGTCAAAAATGCTGATTCATGCTGAATAGTGAGCATAAGAAGTGGATAGTCCCTGCTTCTGCCTGGGGGGTTCCTGTGGAGTGAGGAAGCCACATCGTAAGTTGATCATTGGTCATTAATCAGGTAGACTCATAGCTATGTGTCTCAGATTAATATTTCAAAAAATTTCAGCCAAACCCATCAGGGTCCTGACCTCATGCTCTGCCATGTTTAACCTAATTAATGACATATCCATTTGGCCTATACTGGTTTATTTATTCATTTGTTGATTTATTTATTCAAATAAACACACCTGTTCTGCAACCTAAACCAATAGATATTTTATAAAGTTAAAGGATCAAAACAACAAAAAGATGATTGCAAAGAAAATAAGTCAAGCCAGGTGTGGTGGCTCGCACCTGCAATCCCAGCACTTTGGGAGGCTGAGGCGGGTGGATTACTTGAGGCCAGGCACTCAAGACCAGCCTGGCCAACATGGCAAAAACCTGTCTCCACTAAAATACAAAACTTAGCTGGGTGCAGTGGTGTGTGCCTGTAATTCCAGCTACTGGGGTGGCTGAGGCAGGAGAATCACTTGAATCCTGGAGGCGGAAGTTGCAATGAGCCGAGATCACATCACTGTACTCCAGACTGGGTGACAGAGAGACTCCATAAGGAAGAAAGGAAGAAAGGAAGACAGAGAGAAAGAGAGAGAGAGAGAGAGAGAGAGAGAGAGAAAGAAAGAGAAAGAGAGAAAGAGAGAAAGAGGAAGGAAGGAAGGAAGGAAGGAAGGAAGGAAGGAAGGAAGGAGAAAGAAAGAGAGAAAGAGAAAGAGGAAGAGGAAGGAAGGAAGGAGAAGAAAGAAAGAAAGAAAGAAAGAAAGAAAGAAAGAAAGAAAGAAAGAAAGAAAGAAAGAAAGAAAGAAAAAGAGAGAGGGAAAGAAAGAAGTAAAATAAAACAAAAAGTACCATTGCACAGCAGAGACTGATGTTGGGGCTTTGTCAGATCCTAGCTTCTTGGCTGAATGATACTGGATTCCTCTTTGAAAAGGACCAAATATTTGTCTACAGCAAATCACACACCAAGCTCCCAGCAGTGTAGACCCAGGACTGCCACCTCCTCCTAGCACTGGATCACTGTGGCATGACAGCCATCATGCTCAGCCTACTCTGACTTCATGGCTCATAACACAGGCCCAACCCATAGAAATCCTGGCCCCTTAACGCAAGTCTCCTGGGAAAGGAACTTCTGGGTTTTTTTGAATAAGAAAAAAAAAAACTCTGGGGCTCATTTGAAACTGTGCATACTCTACACCTTTGCTCTTATCTCCAGCCATTTGTATTTCTTCTTTGAAGAAATATCTATTCAAGTCTTTGCCTATTTTTCAGTTGGATTGTTTGTCATTTTATTGTTGTGTTATAAGAATTCCCTATTTATTCTGGATACTAAATTCTCCTATATATTCTGGATACTATCATTCTGGATGATTTGCAACATTGTTTTCCCATTCTGAGTTGTCTTTGCATATTCTTGATAGTGTCCTTTGATGCATAAACGTTTTTAATTTTGATGAAGTCCAGTTTATCTCTTTTTTCTTTTGTTGCTGTGCTTTTGTTGTCATAACTAAGAAATTGTTGCCTAGTCTAAGGTCATGAAAATTTACACCTATGTTTCCTTCTAAGGTTGTAGCTCTTCCATTTAGTTTATTGATCCATTTTGAGCTAAAGTTTTGTGTGTGAGGGGAGGTAGAGGTCCAAATTTATTTTTCCACATGTAGGTATCCAATTATCCCCATACCATTTGTTGAAAAGATTATTCTTTCCCTATTGAATGGCCTTGGTGTTCTTATGGAAAATCGATTGACCATAGATATATGGGTTTATTTCTGGACTCGCAATTCTATTTCACTGATCCATATGTCTAGCCTTATTTCAGTACCACACTGTTTTGAATACTGCACCTTGCAGTAAGCTTTGAAATGAGAAAGCATAAGTCATCCAACTTTGTTTCTCTTTTTCAAGATTGTTTTGGCTATTTTTTAAAAAAGGGCAGTTGGAAGTTTGACATCAATTGCATTGCGCATGTAGATCAAATCTGGGAATGTTGCCATCTTAACAATATCAAGTCTCCCAATCCATGAACACAGAACTAGTGTATGGAAATACATTCATTGCTAGTGTATGGAAATACAATTGATTTTGTACATTATTCTTATATCCTGCAACCATGTTGAACTTGTTTATTAGTGCTAATAATATTTCAGTGGATTCTTTAAACTTTTCTCTATATAAGATCATGTCATCTTTATAAGATCAAGTAGAAACGGTTTTACTTTTATTTTTCAATCTAGATGATTTTCTTTCCTTTTCTTGCTGTATGTTGTTTATTTATTTAATTTCTTTTCTGAACTAATTCTGTATTGTCTACATTCTTTCTCATATGTGGCCACTGAAGTCTCTACTCAGTTAGTTTAATGACCAGATGAAGACTGGACAGAGATTTATTTCACTTAAATTTCTGGAACCAATAAATCTCCTAGTCTTTACAATGGAGCTCAATTTACATGTTCAGTCATACCTTCAACACTCAGATAGCTAGTTTACAACTCTACCTTAGCCTTCACTTCCTACTTGCACACAGCCCTAAGGCAAGCCATGGGTGAGAGAATAGGTCCTATTGAGGTCTTTCCTGAGTATGCACACACCTTTCTGAATGTGTGTGCCTTTCTGGATTCCCTGGAATATGTCAAAGCTCTTCAAAGTCCCAGTGAACATCTCATGCCTCAGTTTTATTCTTTTTTAATCTTTGGTTTTTGTTTTCATTATAAGTTTATTGTTTGTCCCAGCAGCTAGCCATTGCCCCACAGAATTTATCAATTACCCCTAATTGTTTTCAACAGGTGTCCCTGGGTAAAATGCTTTTCTCACTAGACAAGCTCAAGTCAAGCAAACAAAGACAGCCTTGTAAGTAGCATCCTCCAGGAAACTACCCTAAAGGTAAAATAATGACGATTCTGTGGGAATGAGGCTTTGAAGGAATTCTAGGCGCACTCTCCTCTCCCACTGGTGGCTGCCATACTGCTAGATTTCACTGTAATTTCATTTTCAGGCTGTGAATTTTCTTTTTTTTAATTGATAAAGAGATATTTATTGAGCATTTTCTATATACAAAGCACTTTGGGATATACTATGAAGGAAGAGTAAGAAACAGTCCCTAGCCTGAAAGTCCTTCAACTGAGATGAGGATATAGCTAAATAATTGACTAGCTGTAATACAAAGGAAATTGAAATAAATATTAAAGCCAGGTCATAAGCCACCCTCTAGAGAACTACATGTCTAGGGGATGGATTAGCAAGGACTTCATGAGCAAGTTGCATTTAGGCTCAGGCTGTGAATTTTCAAAGCTACTATAGAGCTGGAGGCAGAGAGGGGAACAGAGCAATGTAAAACATCATAAAACTTATTGTTCTGAGATTTAGCCTTTTTTAAAAACAAACACCCCCCAAGTTTCTACAAATCTTTAATTTAAAGTTCCAAAAATGGTTGGTTCTGATATTTTATGTCAGTTTTCTTGCTGCTTTTATGAAGGAGATAATTTTCAGAAGTCCTTGCTCTGCCACATTCTTTGACATCATTTCTGCCTGGCATTTGGTATAGACCATCACATGGTGGTCAGAGCTCGAACTCTAGCACTCCCTGGGTTCAAATCGTAGTTCTACCAGTTACTGGCTGTGTCACCATAATCAAGTTTCTCATCTCTGTGCCCCAGTCTCCATCTCTATGAAGTAGAGATGGTAATACTTCTATATATACTGCATAAGATTGCCATGAGGATTAAAACACTTAATACATGTAAAAACATAGTACAGGGCCTGGCATATAGTAACTACTCAATAAATTCTGATTACTACTGCTATTATTGTTATTTCATTTCCATAAACATGGCTGGGGGAGGGGTTATTATCCTAGCCATTTGACAAAAAAATAAAGGGGAGCAGAAAGAGGCTAAGAAACTTGCCAGGGATCACATAGCTGGGAGTCCTGACTGTGCTGCTGTAGAGCAAGATGCAAGGTGACCCCAAGTTCATGCCCGCATATGCCACTAGCCAGCCATAAAGGAAGTCAGGGCCTAAATGCAAAAATAACAAATGCTAAGCTCCATGCCTGTGAACACAGTGATCCCAAGAACCAGAGACTCCCATCACACCTCCCTTTTTTCTCTATACCCAGCAGAGAATGAAGAGCAAAAGGCTATATTGAAACAACCTTTGCAAAATTACCACTGAGGAAATTATGACAGTGAAAGAAATTAGACCTAACCGACTTCATCTTGCTTCTAAGCTTTAGGCTGTCCTGTTCATTCCCAGGCATAGGCTGAACTAACTTTGGGAAGGAAGGCAGTTCGTGGTTTCACTCTGAAACAAAATTGATAACAGTCCTATTCTTAAAAGATTCCCTTCTTCCTGGGGACCAGTCTGCCTTTGCAGGACTAACAAATTAGCCAGAAGATTATGAATTACAGTTTAGGGGTAGGCAGCCTCTGGTCTCAAGAGTCTGAACCTCCCCAAATTGCTCCTGGGGATTCTACATCACTATTGTAAAGCCTAAGATCAGTGCTTGGGATATTTTGCAGACCCTGCACTGGATGGATCAGCTGACACCACCCAGACCTGTAATCTGGCTCAACCAGTTCTGCCATCCCACCCAGGAACAGAAGATAGCAAGGAAAACTCATTTCGACCTCCTATGATTCCATCTCCAACCTGATCAGTCAGCACTCCCCACTTTCCAAGCCCCTACCTGCCAAATTGTCTTTAAAAACTCTAATCCCTGAATAATCACGAAGACTGATTTGAGTAACAATAAAACTCCGGTCTCCTGCACAGCTGACTCTGTGTGAATTATTCTTTCTTCATTACAATTCCCCTGTCTTGATAAATTGGCTCTGTTTAGGCAGCGGTCATGGTGAACCCACTGGGTGGTTACAATATGTGCAGATGGTACAAAGGAAATCCTAGGGAGAGCAATAAAGGAAAAAGTGCAAATGAAGAAAGGGCTCCAAAGACTACCAATTAGTGAGGGGAAAATATGTTGTTCTCCGTATTGATTTTCACCTCACTTTCCCCGGGAGGAAAAAGACTCCCTCATCAGTTCCGATTTATACTATACTTGTAATTCGTATTTATGTTGCCTGCTTTCTAGAGTCTGGGGCATCCAGGTGACATGGCCCACCACTCTAAACTTGCCTTGCTTCAGTGAAGAGCCCCACCAGGGAGTGCAAAACCCTTGCAGGCCAACTCCCAACCTCTGCCCCTCCCTCCATTTGTCTACACAGTTCCATTTAACAAATATTGAACATTCTCTCTGGGCAAGGACACTGCACCCCTAGAAGGGTTCTTCGTTGATAGAGGGGAGTCCAAAGATAAGAGCAGTCTCCAGCCTCAAGAATGTAAAAACCAAGTATGGAAATGAGAAAACGGCTCAAGCCAGTAGAGGGCCATTAACTCCAAGGACCGTCAATGAGGTAGAAACTACAAGTCCAGGAGGTTCTGAAGGAAACAGTCCTTCAACCTGGATGGATCAGACAGCACTGACTGATACTGTGCTAGGTATTGCTAGGAGTTGAAATAGGCATGCGGGGAGGTGATGCGAGTGCAATCCAGTAGGCTGGGGCAGCGTCCCGGAAGAAGAGGATACAGGGCATGTTCAAAGATGAGCTAGGTACATGTCAGTGAGGCCTAGGAGAGTGCGGCCCACAGCAAGTAAGGCCTTTAATCTGGACCAAATAATGTGGACACAATACAAACTTGGGTAAGGGGATACTCTGCAGATCTTGGAAACAGAGCACCCCATGTTCACACGTGAGACCTAGGTCAACTAATGGGGCAATATTTGGAGGAGGAGCTGGAGGGTGGTGACTACCCCAGAGTCATGTTGGTGGTAGAGGCTACACACCCTTCCCAACAGAGGCAAGATTGGTGCGGTCACCACACTCAAACATTCTGAGCTCCTCATTCATTTTGGTCAAAATGCCCTTGGGGCATGGACAGGTAGGAAAACTGTTAGGAATGGTCAGGGGTCATTCTGGAGCTAACAAGGCCAGGGACATTGCTGATACTCAGTTTTAAGGGAGTGTGGCCCAGACCAGCAAGGAATGGAAGAGAGAAAAGACTAGAAGGCTAATGCTCTGCTCCTGGGAAGAAAACTGGAGTGGCATCAGCAGGAACAGAGAGAAGGAGCTGGGGGCTAATAATACTGTGGGAATCCACAGGCAGATCAGACTGCTCTTTCTTTCTGTCTTTCTCTGAAATCATCTTTAGGGCACTAAGGGTCACTTCCTGCCCACCACCCACTCCACTCTACTCCCTAAAGTGTCCGTGTGTGTGGTATGACAGCATCCCCTCTAGGGCAGAGAAAGTAACCACCTCCAAAGATGAGAGATCACTAATGCATCCTGCAGTGTTCGGGCTTAGGGAGAAAAGTTAAACTCAGGAGGGTGCCCTAGGGAACTAGGGTCTGGATGCCTGGGCTCCAAGTCTCCTGTCCCACACTGGTGCCATTGCCAAAGTCTCAGAAAAGTTTCTAGACAAAGAAAAAGCCCTCTGTGACAAGCAGGGAAGAGTGATATGCCATGTGAGTGCCAACTCAAGTTGCTGGAGGGCGCCACCATCATGGCTCAGGGGCAGGCTGCCCTTTGCTTGAGGTGGATCACTGCTCAGCCTATGCTTCAAGACCTTGCTGGCACCTCACAGATCATCTAGTGGAAAGGGTAATTACCAAGAACTTGTTCACAGACACATAGACCAATGGAACAGAATTGAGAGCCTAGAAATTAGGCCACACACCTACAGCCATCTGATCTTTGATAAAGTTGACGAAAATAAGCAATAGGGAAAGGAACCTCTATTCAAAAAATTGTGCTGGGATAGCTGGCTAGCTGTATGTAGATGAATGAAACTGGACCCCTACCTTTCACTATATACAAAAATTAACTCAAATTAGATTAAAGATTTGTGTGTAAAACCACAAACTATAAGAGTCCTAGAAGAAAACCTTGGAAACACCATTCTGGACATTAGCCTTGGGAAAGAATTTATGACTAAGTCCTCAAATGCAATTGCAACAAAAACAAAAATTGGTAAGTGGGACCTAACTAAACTAAAGAGCTTCTGCACAGCAAAAGAAACTATCAACAGAGTAAACGGACAACTACAGCATATGAGAAAATATTCACAAACTATGCATCTGACAAAGATCTAATATCCAGAATCTACAAGGAACAAACAATTCAACAATCAAAGAAAAAAAAAGCCATTAAAAAATGGGCAAAAGATATAACAGGTGCTTCTCAAAACAAGATATGCAAACAGTCAACAAATACATGAAAAATTGCTCAACATCACTAATCATCAGAAAAATGCAAATCAAAACCATAATGAGATACCATCTCACACCAGTCAGAATGGCTAGCTTTAAAAAGTCAAAAACCAACAGCTGCAGACATGGCTATGGAGAAAAGGGAACACTTAATGCACGGCTGGTAGGAATGTAAAATAGTTCAGCCACTACGGAAAGCAGTTTGGTGATTTCTCAAAGAACTTAGAACTACCATTCAACCCAGCAATCCCTTTACTGGATATATATCCAAAGGAAAATAAATCATTCTACCAAAAATATACACATACACTCATATGTTCATCACAGCACTATTCACAATGGCAAAGACTTGGAATCAACCCAGATGCCTACCGATGGTGGAGTAGATAAAGAAAATGTGGCACATCTACACCATTAAATATTATGCAGACATAAAAAAGAATAAAATTATGTCCTTTGCAGCAACATGGTTGCAACTGGAAGTCATTTTCCTAAGTGAATTAATGCAGGAACAGAAAATCAAATACCACATATTCTCACTTGTAAGTGGAAGCTAAACACTGAGTTCTCATGAACATAAAGATGGCAATGATAGACACTGGGGACTACAAGAAGAGAGAGGGAGGGAAGCAAGGGTTTGAAACAAACTATTGGGTACTATGCTCTCTACCTGGGTGGCAGGATCATTTATATTCCAAACCTCAGCATCATGCAATATACCCTGGTAACAAACCTGCACATGTACCTTCTGAATCCAAAGTAAAAGTTGAAGTTATATTTTTCAAAACAGAATGTGTTCTCCAGATGACTCTACAATCTACCCCCTTCCTCAGTGTATCCTGGAGCTGGGTGGTATGGCTTAGGGTTCAAAGAAAATGTCCATGAACTCACCTTGAGGCTGCACTGGGTCACCCTGAAAGTGTGGAAGGAAAGGAAGAATGTCAAAGGAAACACTGAGGTTCACAGCCTGATTGAACAGAGAAGTTGGAAGACTGCTGAGATATCCAAATCGTATGTTCCCTTGGGTACAAGGGCCCAGCAGCATGCTGTTGTAATTCACCCCACGTGGCCCAGAAAGCTCTTAAATGATGATGTTCCTCTGAGCTGCCATTTTCCTGGTCCCCAAACTGTTCACCCAGGAACACTGTCTCTGCCCCCAGCCCCTGCCACACCTCTACCTTCTCTCTACCTGCAAGACCTAATTCAAGGGCCAGGAGGACCTTGTGTCACCCCTCACAACCATGGCTCCTCTTTCCTTGGCCTGTCGTCCTCCTCTGCTCTTTGAAGTGCTTTGCCAGTGGTTGATTTTTGGCTCTGAAGATGAGCATCTAATTATTTTGCAAAGTAGAATATGGTATGTGTCTACCAGGTTGTAAGTCCCTGTCTGTGGGGACAATGTCTTATTCATGTTTGCCTCCCCCGTGGAACCTAGCCAGGGCCTGACTCTATTTATATTATATATTTATTGATCTAATCAATTAATCAAGATTGAAACGCTTTCCTGGACAAAAAGCTTCCTCACAAGATGGCTAGAATTGTTAAAAAGTTATTGTATTGGCCAAAACTGCATCCCTGGAACCTCTTTTGATGAGTCATTGCTCGCCCATATGTGGCTATCTTAGAATATTTTCCTTCGTCCTCAACCTGATTGGCCCACAAATAGTTGAAGTGAGGATCCATCCTCTGCTTCACCCTCCTCCAAATCTCTTTTTTCCTCTTCTTAAAAATATTCATACCCTAAAAAAGACCATAATTTTGACTCACTAACTAGACACCAGGGAAAAGGAAATTTAATAAATAAATAAAAAGGAAAAACTGAGTTCAAAGACAACAAATGACTAGGATTGGTTTGAGGTTTGGATAGGATTCAGCTCCCTGATGCCATGAGTCACTTTCAGGAAAGAAACACACAAACCCCTGGAATACTCAGGGAAAGCAGTGGAATTCTTTCACCCCTGTGAATGGCACCTGTATTAGTCTGTTCTTATGCTGCCAATAAAGACATACCTGAGACTGGGTAATTCATAAAGGAAAGAGGTTTAGTTGACTCACAGTTCCATATGACTGGCAAGGCCTCACAATCATGGTAGAAGGCAAAGGAGAAGCAAAGTCATGTCCTACATGGCAGCAGGCAAGAGAGAGAGCATGTGCAGGGAAACTCCCCTTTATAAAGCCGTCAGATCTCATGAGACTTATTCACTATCATGAGAACAGCATGGGAAAGACCCGCCCCCATGATGAAATTACCTCTCATGGGGTCCTTCCTATGACATGTGGAAATGATGGGAAATACAATTCGAGATTTGAGTGGCAACACAGAGCCAAACCATATCTGCACCCAAGGAAGGACATTCTGTAACTGGACAGAGCAGTCAGATGATGCAGTTGAGTTTTGTTTTCCGCAGACTGGTGCTACCTTAATGGTGCGTACAATGAAGATATGGAGACACAACATAAAGAAGCATGTTTTACTCAACGGACAGAAGATAACTCAGAGATTATTTAA